TTTGGGGCTGCTCTTCTTCGGCAACTTCAGTTAATCTTTTAGCAGTAAGCAGCATCTAGTGTATCACTCTCACAATAAGCTGATTATGATGTATTTAGTTAAATAAAACACATGTAAGGGATGATAGTGTTGATGATTTACCTTGGATACGAGCGAGAGTGAGCCTGCAGTGTATTTGCGCATAGTGCGTGGAATCAGGGCAACAAATTTGGAAATCCACTGTCTCCTCAAAAGAGCATGTTTGAAAGCAGCAGAAGGCCACCTTATGCGACACACACAGTAAACGTGTGTTGTTCACTCAGCTGCGCATAATAGTGCCGAATTAATAAAAAAACACAATATATTAACCCGCGTTCTGTTTTCTATCATGCCCCGCGCACGTTTGTGATGACGTAAGACGCACGCTAACGCACCAGGGTTCGATAGAATCAAGTTGAGTGTGAAACCCATAGACGGTGAAACCAGACCAACGGTGTGGGGGGCGCCGAAAACAATGGCGCTCGGGCTCGGATCGCAGCAAACGAGCCCAGTGTGAAAACACCCTTAGTTTGTGCTTTTTGTCCTCATTAGATTGGGCTAAAGAGCTAGGATCAACATGAGGCAGCTGCTGTCATGAATCAAGCTCAATTCATTAACACCAAGCTAATCAATTAGATTAGACAGGCTTTGGGTTGTTCAATAAGCAGTCTGCACAAGATATCAGAGAGACATGTCCTGTTCCCTTCTGTGCAGCAGAAATTAGCTGTCTTTGAACCTCTTTCAAAGTGTATTCCGTGCCCTGAGGCATGTCTGGTAATTTCATGTCTAAATTATCCACAGAGAGGGATAATAACATAGGCTACACATAATACCATTTCCTGTTACTGATGAGACATTATGTGGTGTTGTTCTCACCTAAAAATGTAATTCCTTTAGGCTGTTCAAAGCTCATTGACAGTAACCATTCATGCAGTCATGTCACAAGGTCATCAATGTCTCCTTTTGTGTTTGCTCCTAAAAATAATTTGGGTCCCAATTTGGGTGTTTGGGATGTGCACACCATTTTAGTATTTTTTGCTTCTAAAAATAACCCAATATTTATGGCCATTGTTTGAATATTAAAAAAATGTTTGTGATTAAAATTGCGTTAAATGGGGTCTATTTATTCAGGACAGATTAAATTGGCTCAGTAAAGGCATTTATAAATTTCAAATATATGCTGTTCTTTTGAACTTTCTATTCATCAAATAATCCCAAAAATGTATCACATTTTTTTTGTGAAAACTGTAAGCAGCACAACTGTTTTCAACATTGATAATATTAATAAAATGTTGCTTGAGCATTAAATCAGCATATCAGAATGAAGTGAAACAAGCTACATATACAAGGACACTTTAGTTTTTTCAATCGGAATGATTTCATTCCGATTGATGAATCCAAACGTAGTGTTTACATGAACGCTAAATAAAGTGATTGGGTTGATGTTCTCGTTTATGTGTCACAACTTCACAAGCTTCAAATCGCAATTAATTTTTTGATATGAGCACAGTGCACGAATATACAGTTTCTTGCTGTTTGCACTTACTATTTTCCTAAATTTCTTCTATGTTTTAAAGACCAGACTTAATATTTACTTATTTCGGGTCCAAATTAGGGACTACGAGCACATGAAGCTTTGTGTCGTGCTGCTTATATTAATCGCCCAAAACAAGGCGTCTGTGGATGAAAGTCTGAAACAAGGACTAGTGGGACGTTGTTCTGCCCCACTTCACAGGCCCTGTTTCAAATGGCACCCTAAACACTTGCGGTCTTCCTTACAAGTCCGTGCTTTTGTGACGTAACGCCGCTTTGACTGTCGGAAAGAAGTCTGCTGCGGAGCTCCCTTCAGTGCGGGCTCAGCAAAAGTGTAGCCTGGATGCCAACCGAACTTAGCCCCGCCCACAACATTTGAGGTCAGGAAGTTCGGTCTGGAATTGATCCGTTGTGGAGCAACTATGCTCAAACCAGCGCTGTTCGGACCAATCAAATTGTCAGGGCGGGCTTTATATGATGATGGACAGATGATCAACAGTAACGTAATCATCCACGTCACCAAAGAGCGCTTGGGTTGGATTCGTTTACAACAAAAGTGTCTGCCCCTGGAGAATTGAGATGTGTAGATTCTGCCATCGCGTCTGTTATAGAAGATAATTATCGACAGCGCATTCATTTTAAAAGAGGAACAGAGAACCGCGATCAAGGCATTTGTCGATCGGAAAAATTTTTTTGCCGTCCTTCCTACGGGATTCAACATACGTCACTTACTCCTTTGCTCTGATTAGTTGTAGGTCTATCCAATTGAGTGCAGAGGCATTTTCTTTCCTGGTTCGGTTAAATGGTAAATGGACTGCATTTATATATAGCGCTTTCACAGACCCAATGGCCACCAAAGCGCTTTACAATTTGCCTCACATTCACCCATTCACTCACTTATTCATACACCGACGGGCGACGGCAGCCATGCAAGGCGCCATCCAGCTCGTCGGGAGCAGCTGGGGTTAGGTGTCTTGCTCATGGACACCTCGACACTTGAAACACGCCCCATAATCATAGCCCAATGGAGCAGTATCAGACTCATATTCTGACTAGAATCTGAGTATGATGACGTCAGGCTAGCAAAAGTGCGTATCGAGTGCGCATATCGACTGCAAAGGGGGAGCTCGCCACCACCCTTCTGAATCCTAAAATGACAAATAGGACACCCTACGGTCTCATGGACTTAACAGACAGGCGCACGCGGCAGCCATTGTAAGTCCACAAGACCGAAAGTGCATATGAAGTGTGCCATTTGGGACAGGTCCCCAGACGATGAGTGGAACGAAAATATTAGATTGACATTGAAGTCATTTATGACACTTCATTCAACAACAACAAAAGCTTGTTCCTCGCGTCATACGTCATTACGCCATTTTAATGTAATTGCACATGTGCAGTACTTTCCAGTTTCGGTTTTTAATACGATCAAGTGTTTACGTGTCCTCTTGATCGGATTAGAAAAGGTTTATACCATCCCTTACAATCCAGATTAAATTTTAATCGGGTTTTGCCAATACATTCTGATTGATGTTTCTGACTGTGCTAGTTGTCCGATTACAATCAGATTATTAGGGTCCCGTCCATGTAAACGCTAACCTGGCCCTAGCCAGATGAATTTCGCTCCGCCTAGCTTCATTCACATCCATCTGGAACCTTTTCCATTGAGAGTGATTTCTCCAACCAACTTTATGGTTTAGCCAATCAGGACGCAGGGCGGGAGTTTCATAGATGTGACGTAGTGGAGAAGCGACCGTGAGACTGTTTTGATTCAGACAACAATGGCGGCTCGCATCGAGGAAACAAGCGTTAACATTGATGCTGCTATTTCATCCGTGTTGTCCAATCTACCTAATATTGTTTCATTAAAAGAACATCAGAGAACGGCTCTTAAGGCTTTTGTTGGTGGAAACGATGTTATATAGATCAGTGCCTTCTAGGGCTGTCAATCTTCCTCTATAATACTATTCGAATTCCATTCCTTATTTTATTTAATATTCGAATAATATTCGAGTATTAAATGCTCAAATTCATCCTATTATTAATATTTACGACATTACTCAGGCTTATGGATCGCCAATGCCACTATAGCATGTGGTTGTTGTTACACGTTCTGTCCACTAGAGGGATATCTAACATTACAATTGTTTATTGTAATGTTAGATATCCCTCTAGTGGACAGAACATGTAACAATTTTATTCGTGCTGAATATGGTTGAAGCGCTACCGATGGTTTTCGGCTAATATCTCCGCTAAAACACCACCAAAAATTCTGAAACTTATATCGTTCTTTTCAGTTCGACTAGACGGTTCCAACGAGTTTGGTGCTCGCCGAATCCGTTGAGTTTTCACCAAGATATTTGCGCTTCACGGGCGCTTTTTTACGTTGTTAAACATTTACCATTTTTGACAGTATTGTTATGATGATACAGCGTGGATAACGTGCACAATTGTGTTACGATTCAAAAACGTTATTGTTCATCAGACGAAACAAAAGCATTTCATTTTCACATGTGTGTAAGTCAAGGTGGCGAGAAAGGCAAGATTCCATATAAAAAAAATTAATGAATGGGAATAGGAGCAGGCTTCACTCAATGATTAAACTTAAACTTTAAGAATGCTGGCCTGATGATTAGAATATATAACGTTAAACAGGAAAGAGGCCGCACTATGCATAAATTGTTTTATTTGCACAAACGCGTTTCGGCGCGTGCCTTCTTGAAACGCGTTTGTGCAAATAAAACAATTTATGCATAGTGCGGCCTCTTTCCTGTTTATATATATATAAAAAATTAAAATATACATAAAAAAACAATATTCGAATAGTAACTTCAGCATTCGAATAGTATTGATTTTTTTAATATTCGAATTATATTCGAATTTCGGAATTCGTTCCAACAGCCCTGCCTTCTCCCGACCGGATTCTTCAGCGTCACGGGTTGGCTTCGGTGTGAGTGGTTGAAATAGCACGTCGATAAAGATGACAGACAAGTGGCTTATCCAATCATATGCAAGGATTTTTGATAAGGCCCAGCCTTCCGAAACGCCATTTCAATGGATCGGTTCCAGATGGATGAGTGAAGCTAGGCGGAGCGAAATTCATCTGGCTAGGGCCAGGTTATGTAAACGCAGCTACAGGAATAAATTATATTTTTTAAATATAGGCTATTTATTGATGCAGCCTTGGTAAGCATAGTGCAGCTGTGTGGGAGCATGTAGACTCACAATGCAATGTTTATGTATTTTTCTACTGCTGTCTTGTTTCGTTTAGCCTGTGCAAAACCTTACTGATAGCTATGATTATTCATAGTCACAGTTGTGAAACAAAATGACATGCTATTATTAAATTTCACAAACTCTACAAATTACTAGTTGTTAATTTTTTTCTAGGAATGCTAGGTACAAACAACTCTGATAAAGTGCTCCTGCTGATGTTATCGTTTTCTTAGTCCCTCTGACAGCTCATTGAAGTGCCTGCTTTCCTCTGCTGCCATGACCTCCACACCACCACCTCTTATGAAGAAGCACAGTCAGACTGATCTTGTGAGTCGCCTCAAGTCCCGCAAGGTTCTGGGTGTCGGCGGGGAGGATGATGACGGAGAGGTGCACAGATCAAAGGTAACGTCCCACCTGACAGCATCAGTCTTTTTCATAATTGACCTCAATAGCTATTCATGTAAGAAAGCTTCTTTTTTTTTACTTACTAGTTTTCCTCATATTTAGTGATCTCCGGGCAGTGTTTCCCTGATTTTTTTGTTGCTTTTTTATGTTGTCTAAGTCATATGCCTTTTAGGGGTTTTCAAATTATTAGTGCAACTTGAAGTGTGTGTGTGTGTGTGTATGTATATATATATATATATATATATATATATTATTATTATTATTTTTTTTATATATATGCAGTTCGAAATTATTCAACCCCCATTGCAATATTGGTGAAATTTACAGACTTTCAGCTGTCTGCAATGACCAAATCAAACAAAAGTAGTTTTTTCAAGTGGTTTCCCCAAATTCAACTAAAAAAGCAACTTTTAATGACTTTTGCAGTCTCAAAATTATCCAATCTCTTTATGGGAAGCATCTTTAGTACTTAGTAGAACACCCTTTTGCTGTTATGACCTGCTGCAAATGAGATGTATAACCAGACAACAGCTTCTGGCAGCGTTTCTGAGGAATCTTAGCCCATTCCTCATGAGCAATAGCCTCCAGTTCAGTTATATTCTTGGGTTTGCGTGCTGCAACCGCCTTCTTCAAATCCCACCAGAGATTTTCTATAGGGTTCAAGTCAGGTGACTGTGATGGCCACTGTAGAATCTTCCAGGACTTCTTCTGCAACCAAGCCTTGGTGGAATTTGAGGTATGTTTGGGATCATTGCCCTGTTGGAAGGTCCAATGACGCCCAAGTTTCAGCTTCCTTACTGACGGCATGATGTTTTCTCCTAGGATTTCCTGATACTTCAATGAATCCATCTTGCTTTCCACACGCTGCAGGTTTCCAGTGCCAGAGGATGCAAAGCAGCCCCAGAGTATCACCGAGCACCACATGCTTAAAGGACAAGTTCGGTATTTTACACTTAAAGCCCTGTTTCAAGATCGTTTCTGATGAAATAGAACAGTTAAGATTAAAATTTGGACACATGCTGCTGTCCCGAGAAATTTCGGTTTCTGTGGTCGCACCCCCACACCCCCACACCCCCACAATGGTTGCATAGGTGCACAGAAACAATCCTTCATAAAACGCATTAAACTTTAGTTTACAAAGACGTTAAACTCACCGAGTGGTCAGGGGTGTTCACTGATATGCTCACACAAAAATCGCTGAAAAAGATGCTTTCCAACAGGTTTTATCGTAGTTTTTGTCCAAGTCAAGTCAAATGGTAAAATACCGAACTTGTCCTTTAACTGTAGGCAGAGTGTTCTTTTCAGCATACGCTTCATTCTTCTTCCTCCAGACATACAGCTGATCCATAGGGCCGAAAATTTCCATTTTGTTTCATCGCTCCACAGAACAGAGTCCCAAAACTTCTCGCCTTATTGTGCAAGCTGAAACCTCAGTGCCTGTTGGCACCAAGTCTTGCAGCAGGTATTTTGCAGCCACTCAAGTTTTTTTTTTAAACCTGTCTTCTCAGAAATCTGGTTGCAGCCGTTGATAGCTTCCTTTTTCTGCCCTGTCCAGGTAGTGTAACCACTGTTCCCTTAGCTTTGAACTTGCAGACTATGTGTAATTAAATAAACTAAACTAAGCTAACCTTTTGGACCATTCTTTTGACTTAGCCATGTTCCTAACATGTAGACAAATGTGGCACTCAACAAACCTAGCCAGTTGAGGTATTTCATGTGTTCTAGCTCAAGCAAACCTGGTGCAACTAATAAAGCCCTTGATTAGTTGCATCAGGTGTGGTTGAGACAACACCTGTTTTGCAGATTTGTGCTGTTGTGAGAGATTTTATTCAGGGGGTTGAATCATTTTGAGACTGCAGAAGTCATTTAAAGTAGCATTTTCAGATGAATTTGGGGAAACCACTTGAAATAGTTGTTGTGTTGAGCTATTTCAATTACTTTTGTTTGATTTGTTCATTGCAAACAGCTGAAAGTCTGTAAATTTAGCCAATAAACCTGATTTGAAAGGGTGGTTGAATAATTTCAATTACAACTGTATGTATATATCTTATTCATATATTCTTTCATTCAACAGCAACCACAATCAAAAAGTATTTAATTTATTGATTTATTAATTAATTGAATAATACTAAACATTTTGATATTATTAATTATATTAATAATTAATACAGTATTATATTAAGTAAAATATTATTATTATTATTTAAATAATAATAATATAAATTAAATATACAAATATTATTTTTGGATTGTTGGATTCTAGCTGACTGTTTTCTGTTTTCTGAGATGCTGCTGTTTATCATTTATATATTTCTGTTGAAAGGAATATATAAACTATAGAATATATTGCGTACAGAGCTCTCTTGCTTTATGGGAGGTAGGAATACATCACACACAAACCACAAATTTATTGTGCATTAGGAACACACCTGCTATGGGGGAGGTGGCTGACTAGATGAGTTGTGGCACAGTGTGGAACGCCAGCTCTGCTTTAGGACACTAACTGTCCCCACACACTCATCCTGAAGCCAGTGTGCAGTCATGTTGCACGACTATGAATAAGGAATGTGCATTTTGCAACCCACTAGACGACTTTTTAGTCGAGTTTTCTCTTCCTTAGGTTGTTGATATAGCAACTGTTCAGGTGCCAAGTAATTTTCATTCATAATGTTTCTCCTTCAATCTGATATAAAATTTCATATCGTATTATTGTCGCTCTTAACCGGTAGTATAACAAGCCTATAAGCATGCTTAGTGGTTTTATACTAGTTTGACATGACGTGTGTAGGCTTACAAAATACTCCCTCACCTTGCTCATCTTCCGAGTGGACATTTCTCTGAACCTTCCGCGAGTTCCACAGAGAAAACGAACACATGCAAAATCGGAGGTAAAATTAAATGATTTTTTTCCGCTCCAGAAATACACTATTCAAAAAATATATTAATTTTAAAATGTAACATTAACTTGACGGTAATTTAAGCGTAGCCTTTGTAAAAATAAAAAGGAAAACATTAAATGTGCAAAACAAAATGAAAACGACTCTCACGTCCCAAATATGAATACCCCACAATGAAAGCTTATTGGTACCACTACCCATCTCACGCTCAGCACTATTAAAACATATGGGGCTTTGAGGTAGTCCACATGAAACATGGGCGGCACTCAGACACAGCTGCCCTTTCCACCCCTGCAATGTGCATCAATCCTTGGGTAGGGTCACAGAGAAAGATCTAAGAGAACATCCATTAAGGGGCAGTCGCCCATCACCCTCTGTTTCAACAGAGATGGCTCAGCTAGCACCATAATGGCTGGAGATGTATGCATGAATCCAGCTCCACATGAGCTTTCAAGAGATGCTATATTAATAAATCAGCAGTTTCACCAGTCAAAGTAGATCTTTTGGGTGCAAAATTTTTCTGAGCAACTTGAAAATTTATTTGTGGTACAAAATGATTTTGGTCTTCCATTACTATTTGAAGACTTGCACACTCATGATCATGATTTTCTGTTTATCATACCTAATATGGGGCGTGATGTATTTGAAGTAATCTGTTTAATTTCTCCATTAGTTTGTCACTTAAATAAGCAGTTGCTGCGATCCTGTGGTCAGATGAACATACTGTGTAGAAGGGGTGCAACGGATCACAACACTCATGGGTCAGATCATATTACAGTTTTTGAGTCATGGATCGGATCTATCAGGGAGAGGCAATCGGTATGTTCCGATCATTCGTTTTTATGTTTTACAGCTTTTCGGAATTGCTTAAACAAAACTCTGTTCTCTGAACCAAATTCTCAATGGCCTAAAACAAATACATGCTGTGGATGCTGTATTCACCATTTTTCTTATGTAGTGTCTAATGAATGATCTGTAGTGTGTATAAATTGACTGATGTGTGCTTGATCTGAAAGCTTTGTTTGATTTTGCCAGAAGAGTCAGGGGTTTTGTGACGGTAGTTTGAAGATTTGGCTTTGTGTTTAATGTTGTGAGAAAATGGGTCAATGTATCAACTTTTTTTTTTATATATAAAAACAAAACAAGAATATGGCTTGATTTTTAATTTTTACGTTCAGGGGTAGAAAATGCATAAAGAGCTTAAAAATTCGATCTCTACATGTGAACCGGAATGAAATATCAGTTGTTCCTCAGTTCCTTGCAACAGAATAATAGTCATCTGCTACTACAGTTGTACGGATTCTTAAAGCTTTTATTGCAACTACATTTCACTACATTAACACTTGACCGGTTTAAAATCCCTTGAATGTTTAAATTGCCACGACTTAAAATGTGCAACTTTAATTTACAGTTAATCCACGTCAGATGCATGGCAAACCGTGTGGCCAGGTCTGGATCAATACGATCCGTTACACCCATACTGTTGTATCATCTGCCATTACAGGTCTTATGAGAAAACAGAGTACTCCCTGTTCCCAGCTGTTGTTGAGATGTGTTAATCCCCTCAGAAACAACTAGACCGAGGTGTCGATTGAGTGGTGGTCTCCATAGAACATGACATGCTCTTGTTTCTCGGTGCGACATGCTTTCTGAACACCATATCTCTGTGAACACTTTTCTCCTGAGAGGATTCAATGACCTGCCGTACTAGCTGTTTTCTAAATACAGCATGTTCATAGTATACAATTTTTGGCAATTTCATTTGAATGAATTGCAGTAAATGTTCATGGTCTAATATTACAATAAGCGAAAACCTATACAACGGAACCTTAACAAAACAAAAACACCTGGTGTCAGCTCGTCTGTGACATCCGTTTTACTCTAAGCCATTATTACTATTTAAGCACTCCTGAGAGGCTAAAACAGACGCTGTGAGACACGCCCCCCGTACAAATGCACACCATGTACTAGGGCACACGGATATTTTTTTCCTTAAAGGGGCCTACCACAGCAAGAAACATGCATTAGGGCTAAATAAAGTACAACTACATGCAGTCCACATGTTTGTACTGATCAGGGCCACATTCTGCAGGCCACAGCAGTCACTTTCCATCAGTCCCGCTCACCTTCCTCGATCACATTCTTGCTTCCCCCTATGAAATGACCTTTGGCCAAGAGTTCAGCTTCCCATCAGAAACGGATCAGGTTTTCATCAACACTAAATTACCCACGCTGCGGAGGCTTTTAGTGCAGAATGGCGGAGAGGGAGACGGATAGATCCCTCTCTTTTAGGGTGGGAGAAGAAAGAGAGAGCTTGCATGTTTAATGGCCATTAGGGTGTATTGTTTTTTTTTTAGGCCTGGAAGCCACAGACATCATTTTGAGATGGAAATGGAAAGGAGCGTGGTAACAATAATTGTGCTAATTTCTTATAGAGCACATCAAAGTAAGGGAAATGCCTGTTTATGTGTTTCAAAGATAAGTAAATGGACATTGCTACTGTAAAATTAGCCTACTAATTTCCTACTGCACATTAGACCCTTCGATCAGCCTGCACCCATGGTTAGTATTACTGGATCTGACAAGCTTTTGATGCTGTTGATAACATCTAGATTAGCTATGAGTTTAAATACACAATTATATATATATATAGTTACCAAAAGGTTTCCAGTATGCTTTCAGGTTTCATCATCTGGCATATGCTGCTAACTATCGAGATATACTGAACTAACGCTGGACGAGCACGAGATTGTTAAAAAATATGGCAGATGGCTACAGTTTTCCCGGGGAAGGATCGGCCAGTTAACGTTTTAAGACCAGGCTTAGCGAAAGGTCCACTGCCCTTTTTCTCTTAACCACCTGTTTCCTTTTGCCCACAAAATGTACAGTACTGTTTGGGTCAGAAAGATTTTTTTTATTCAGTAAGGCTGCATTAAACTGATCAAAAGTTACAGTAAAGTAACATTTTATGATGTTACTAAAGATTTCAATTTCAAATGCTGTTCTTAAACTTTTTATTTAAAAAAATCCTGATTTTTTTTTTTTACCATGGTTTCCCCAAGCATATTAAGCAGCACAACTGTTTTCAACATTGATAGTAATACAAAATATGTCTTAAGCACTAAATCAGAATATTGAAATAATATTGACACTGAAGACTGGAGTAATGATGCTGGAAATTCAGCTTTGCCATCACAGAGTAAATTACTTTTTAAAATATTTTAAAATAGAAAACAGTTATTTTAAACTGTAATAATATTTCACAATATTACTGTTTGTTTTGTATTTTTAATCAAATAAATGCAGCCTTGGTGAGCATCATTTTGAGTTGGTTCCTTTTGAGCTTTAGCACTATTTTAAACAGCATTCTCCTACAAAATCCCCTGTCACTTATAGAATGATAAGAGTTAGGCTACCCAAACAAAGCATTATATTGAACCACCTTCCACATCCTTATCTGTATTTGTCTGATTCTGTCTGAAGGAGCTGTGCTCCCCTGTGGATTCCCCACAGCCTGGATTACGAACACAAAGCCATCATTGTGAAACCACCTAGCCTGCTGTCAAAATACACATATTAAATCAAAACAAAACTCAAACTTTCCTATCAGTCCCTCCAGATGCTACACCAAAGTTTCCATATTTACAAAATGAATCTGTATCCCTCTGCATGGACCATTCAGTCTTGGCAGGCTTCTGCTATCAGCAAATCTGAAAATCCCACTTTCTGAGTTAGGCCTGTTTTCCTAAATTTGACATTTTCCTTCCATCTGCCTGTATTTTAGTGCGCCACCTTGCTCTACTTAGTATATTATAGTAGTAGTAGCCTATATGAATGAATAGTATATTAATGTGTCTTATTAATTATTACATTTCTAAAAGCTAGTAAAAGAAGCTAGTAAACTGACTACATCTTACATGCTAATATTGATAAATTCTCATTTTGCAGATCAGTCAGATGTTGGGTAATGAGATGAAGTTTGCTGTACGTGAGCCCACTGGTCTCCGGTAAGACTTGCATGATCAGTCTCTTCACATCAGACCACTGACTTCAAGCTTGTCTCTGTCTTTACGTGTGACATCAGACACCCTAATATTTTAATTGCTCCAATGTTCTTTGCAGTTTTTTTGTTGTTGAAGATCCTTAAAGGTTTTGATTGTGGCCCATTTGTGTCTTATTAGAGGCCAGTTGGTTTGATGTGTAATGTCTTTCATTCTCTCATTACAGGATTTGGCTCCTCATCTCTGCAGTGCTGTTCACATCGACATCCTTAATGGTGAGCAGTTACTGCAAAATAGTTCATGCTCCAAAATGAAGTAATGCTCATTGTGTTTTGTGTAATTTTTTACGCTACTGTACAATAGATTTTCTTTTAAAAGAAATGTATACTTTTATTCTGCAAGAATGCATTAAATTGATCAAAAGTGACAGTAAATATATTTATAACGTTACAAATAATGTTACAATTAATTTTTTAATTTATAATTGACATTTCTCATTTTGCTGTCATCTTGAAGGGATTTTTGCAGCTTTAATGCCTCTCCCTAGATGTCCCATAACATTACAGTCATTATGTGACCACGTTCTCTGTGTTGTAGGCCCTGGCTTTCCCCAACCAGCTCTATGAGATAATATTTGAGCTCACCACCACCAGGATCTCCATCAGGCTCTTCGGCGGAGCCCTTCTATGTATGTTCAGGTTTCTTTTTAATTACATTTGAACTATACACATGTACATACATTTCCATGTAACATAGAGAAACAAACACAAGAACAAAAACAAACAAATAAACAAAAAATGCTTCACAGTATTTTACATTGATATTCAGTACCACCTCTTTTCTTAGTCTTCTATTAACACCTTTCCAACATGTTTTAAGAACAATCAGAAAGGTCCCCAAACTCTATCAAAAACTGTATATTTATTCTTTAAAATATGTTATCTTTTCCATTGACATATTTGTTACCATTTCTTTTAGCCAACGTACTATATTTGGTGCCCAAATACTTTTTCCAATTTAAAGAAATAAGCCTTATGGCTTGAAGAATACATATATTTATAAATATATACTCTTTCTTTTTTTTAAAGTTGATCTCCTTAGGATATAAATAAAAGAAAAAAGAAAAAGGTGACAGCAGGATGTAAACATCAAGGATGTTATATCATTTCTTTCACACCTTTCCAGAAATACTTCTTCACACTCCATATGCAATGATATAGTGTACCTTTAAACTCACTGCATCTTAAGCAAGTGTCAGGGACATTTTCATTATATGTATGCAATACAACTGTAGTTATATAAATCTGCGTATATGTTCATTGTTCAGGTTTAATTGGATAAGTTTAAAGATTACATCTCATTATAGACTATAAGTCTATAATGAGAAGAAATGAATTGTAAAAACAAACGTTGACAAATTTGACAAATACTATAAGTTCCACAAGGGCTGAAAAAGTACACAGTCTGTAAAAGCATTGTGGATATCATGAAAATAAAATGTATATATATAAGCATTGGACCATTTAGGATATTTAAATGCGCGTTTCTCCACATAATATTGTCAATGTAGCATATGTGCACTTCTTTACACTTAAGCTTTTTCCACTTTCAATTTACACATAGCAAATGCATAATGTAAACACATTTGTGCAAGTCTGTCTCCCACTAACAGGAAATATTCATGACTAGATGAGCTGTTCACTGCCAGATTAGTATGATTTCACGAGATATGAATATTTTACGCCTCGGTTTTAAAAATGGATGAGTCCATACAATACCATTTAGCCACATATAGGGCAGGGCTTTCAGAGTGCTGGGTAGAGCTATTGCACTAGAACTAGTAATGACCCCCTGCTGGTCCCAGGACGCTTCACAACAGCACATGCCAGGCACACCCCGTGCTTGAGCTTACAGTCAGCCGTAGGAGGTCCTGTATTATAAAAGATTGCAGGGGTGGCTTATGGGTATGAGTTTTGTGGAAATAAAATCCCTTCCTTCCCTATGCCCTTATTTCATTATGAACAGCAGCCTATTTGTCTTTTCTCCATAATAGCATAACGCAGCCTCTAATTCAGCATAAAGAAGTTTCCCTCCCCAATTTGTTTAGATTCCAGCCCTAACCAGTGGGTGATAAAATATTATGCTAATGTAATTGTTACATACATTATCTATCTATGAATGCTCATAAATAGGGTGCTGCAGCAGAGCCCTGAAGGCTTTGCTGTATGCACACATGACATGATGTTAGTATGCAAATTTCAAAAGGGCTGTATTTTGCGGTCAGACCCCTCACTGAGCTCCAGTGGTCTTTATACAGTGTGACACCTGGTTTAGCTCACCAACAATTCATACCCCTGTGGCGCTGCACGGTGTGAGTGTTCTTCTGTCAGATCAATGGCCAGTTGAGTGGTGGGAATTACTCAAGCAAGGCTGGAAAAATAGTGCTGGCAGATGGCACTTGGCAGGGTTGAAGAAACAGCTACCCTCTTTGTCATCCATATCCGCAGTGTGGGAGGAGATCAGAAGGACTATCTGCGCTTTTCCCTGAACGGAATCGGAACCCACACCAGCATCGGTCCTCTGATCTTGGGCCAGATTTCAAGCTTTTTAATTCCGAGCACAAGTGCTTGGGTTTAAATAGATTTCGCATTATATTTAATAGACGAGCCCCTTTTATTGTTTCTACCTGACTTAGGATGAACTGACTCTTTGTGTTTCCTTTTCCCAACAGGTATCTCATTAATCATGTGGAATGGCTTGTACACAGCGGAAAAGGTCATCATTCAATGGACGCTACTTACAGAAGCGTGTTACTTTGGGGTACAATTTCTAGGTGAGAGAGGGATTTTCTTTTTCTGAGAACAGTGGACAGACAGTGCTAAGGGGGCAGACCCATAATTAAGGGACATTTAGACTGGAGAAAAATGTATTTAGGCCACTTCAGAATGATTAGCAGGGCTCAATGATGAGATTTTTTTATGTATTTTTTTATGGGCCAGGAAAAAAATATTTCTTAATATTTACTTAATATATGTTATGCTTTATTTATTTGTATTAATATTATATTTACTAGCAAGGACTTTCATTAGCATTAATAATATTAAATTAAACAGCAATTATGTGGCTACATACGCTGTACATTTATAAACACTTACTGGAAAACAATGCAAAGCATTACAGATTGGTTCATAATTGTAACCCATTCTCCAGATGCTTCCAAGCCTATCGGAAGTTGATCAAATCTGGCTTGAAACACTAGGCCATTCTTATTGTTGAGTCCTGGTTAGCAGAGGAGGTCTGGAATACTCTTAGTTCTTAAGGCTGTACTGCCCTCTTATGGCAACCAGCTCTCTTAAAAATCCAATCCAAGCATAGGGTTCAAATGAACCAATAAACTCCTTACTTTGTGCTAAATATAAGTTGAGGAGAGTGATCACACCTACTGTATTTAAGACAGTCACATAATAAAAAGCCAATGGGTTGAAGGTGATGCTTTTTTGGGGTCATTTTTTGTCTTGAAGCTGTAATTAAGTCTGACTAATAACTTTTTGCCTTCCCTATGTTTGTTGCCAAAAAAAAATAAAAAAAATATTCTGGAGTAGTATTACAATTTCTTTAAAAACAAAACAAAAAGGCCAAATGACAAAATAACTGCTTCCAATGTTTGTGACATATAGCCTATGGTATATTCACAGTGTTTCCCCTACCATTGTTTTGGGGGGGCGGCCCGCCCCCCCAAAACGCCCCCCCGCCCCCCCTAAATTGCTGACGAAATCCAGTCATAAAAAAGAAATTTACTGTATAACGCGGAATTTGTCAATCTTTTGAGGAATAAATAGAAAGCAGTTCAGTGTACACTTGAAATCAAATCGCGATGTAGACAAGTGTGTGTGGATATTAAACCACAAAGACTATTTAAATACGAATCCTGCTTGTTCTGTGTGAATGAATGGTGCAGCCGACGCGCAGTTTCATTTAACGTACCACACACACACACACACTGAAGCACATGTGACGCTTGCGCTGTTTTTTTGCCTATATGAAGACACAAATGCATAAACTTCCTCTCCAGGCTCTCGATCCACTCCGAAAGTCACTTCGTGATAATTTAACCGCTTCATTTGAGAAAAACTATCATTATGACAAACACACAAACTCAAAAGGTCTTCACGGCAACCCGTCAAAATAAAATTTCGGTTTAACTTGACAGAAATATATTACCGTTGTACAGTAGAATTTAGATATGTCCCAATGTAATAATACTAACACTAATCCAAATAAATTATCATCAAAACTGATTTTTTTAGGAATAATCCATGTTTTAATTTTAACAGTAAAGCTCATTGTGCAGCACATTATTTGACAAAAAGTTTATTTAATTTCATATGATTAAAATTGATGATAAATGATAAAATTTGTGGTTTTTTTTTTTAAATGTTGTATACGTTTAATGATTCATAATACACTATTTCAATTAATTAGACATGCTTTTTGATTGCTAAAAAATGTACACCACGTATCCGTAACACGCCTGCTCCGCAACACTAGCAGTCCCCCCCCCCCCCCCCGCTGAAAAAAAATCCTAGGGGAAACACTGATTCATCTACTGGTTCAATCATCTAGTGGTAGATTCAGATTTTTGGATTGATTGATTTTTTTTTTAGTCCATTTCATTCTACCCTTTATGGCATTGTTTTTATCAATGCTAAAGCATGTATTTCCATAAGAGGGCAGTGTATCATTGTCTCGGCACATATTTTTACGAGTTAAATTGGGCTGTGAATTCGGTTTGGCACCCTTTTGCCTGATGTCTATAGAAGACTACTTTGTCTGACTTTGCCAATTAGTCTCTATACACATTTTTTCCCCAGTGACATCCATCACTCTCTTGGAGATGGGCACAATGTGCAACGGTGCAATCATTCTTCTTGTTAGTGAAGCCTTCTTCCTCTCCATCACCTTGAGTTACTATCATCACCTTGGCCGGCGAACCAAAAAGATGTGAGGGAGGCCAGCTACCATGTGTTCACCAATCTCTTCTGTTAGATGGGTGGGTTTGAATAGCACTATTGCCTGGACCAAATGAATTTACACTTGACTGAAAATCAACCTCTGTTTGTGGGAAATTTCCATTTTATGTAAGCACAGTATCAGGGTTATTCATCTCATTAGATCCAGAGGGCCTTAGATCTTGACTTTTGTTACATTAAGTTCACTAGAGTGGCTATAATTATCTGACAGCTTACCTGTTTGTAAAAGCTTTTTCTGAGAGTATATATTGTATGAAGGGTTGATGTATGGCACGGTACGTGTGTGTGTGTGTGTGTGTGTGTGTGTGTGTCAGGAAATTTAGTCTCCCAAATGTTCAAATTGTTTTGGCAAGGTGACCACAATTCAGGTCATATTATGTAAGAGTTTAATGTAATTAATTTGTGTGGTGTGTTATTCTATGCTAAGAATGCGTACAACAACACCACAGTACAACCTCCAATAACGTAAGACAAAGGGTAAAGCAAGGAATAGCATACATGCAAAATTAAAATAGGCCTACATTAAAATTTGAATGTATTGAAGAACTAGAATTGTTACATTTACATGTAGTTAGTTACTAACATTTCTAATTAATTTACTTTTCAATTTACCTCCATAATTCTCCATAAAACTCCAAAGTTTTACAATTCCAAAGTGATAAACATTACAAAGTAAAGCCTTTGCAAATAAATACATTCCTTTTGAATTTGGACTCCCAACAGTACATTTTGTGATATGGTAAAAAAAACAACAACAACGGATGTAGTATTAAATGGTATTTAAAGTGTGTATTTCAGAAAATACCTTATTAACTTTGCAGTTGTATTTATTACTGTCTTTGACAAATCCTGCTATTTGTGGCTTCAAACTAAGAAATTCTACCCCTGGTAATTCAGGCGTGATTAGTTTGTTACTTTTTCTGCTTTACATATACCTAATGGACATTTACACAACAGGTACTAAAGTAATTAGTGTAATTTATTAATTTAGCACAACTCCTCTTTTATTACAGATTAAGAGATTACAGAGAATCTTTTTTTTTCTCATGTTCGGACTCGTATGATCTGCATGTTACTCATGGTTTAACTTTCACAAATGTAACTATATGTAATAAAGGGACAGTTCACCCCAACATTTAAGTGCACTATCTACTCTCATTTTGTTCCAAAACGTATGATTATCTATCATCTGTGGAGTAAAAAAGGAGTATTCAAGTCTGAATTCATATGATGGTTCCTGTGTGTCTCATCATCGACAGAAAACTTCAGAGAATTTACTTTTTGTTTGAACTCTTTTTAAAAACTATCATTATGCACAACAATAGTACATTTTAGAATTGCATTTAGTAAGCTATACTTTATGCCTTTAGTGATCCTTGCATGAAGTCAACAATGCAGATCAGCAGTAGCTTTAAAATGTAGCACTTTTATAAATATAAAATATATAATCAGTGATTAAAACTTCTGTTCAACTTCCACATAAAGTGTTTATTTAAAAAAATGTTAGCATGTTGAAATTATATTCTATTTATTCACCTCTTATAGTCACTATAATGTAGCATAATTGAGAATGTTGCAGCTCTTTTATCACACCACCAACATCTGGGCCAACATCAGCAAAATGTAATTGCGATTAATAATAGTTTAAATGATTATTCTATAATTAGATATAGCAGGTGTCATTCCTAATAGTATATGCTTCCATCAATGAACTGTCGTTTGAGATGTGAACAGTCACGTTACCCTTCCATAGATCTCAGATGCTGCTTCCAGTAAAACACAAATGGCTTTGTTCCAAAGGGAAATCAAAGGATTATATATATATATTATTATATAGATTATATATATAGATAGTATTTTAGGTGTTTGTTAAGAGGTGGTCTGTAACCCATTTCATAATTTGATATTAACTGCATTACTTCAGAACTAAACTGCTGTTTGTTTATTTATACTGTGCATCTCTCTTTTAATGAACTGTTTAGTAATACTCTGTTAACTAGCAAGACAATGGACCATGATTCGATTGTCAAGTCAAAGCACAGTTAATGATTATACAGTAGATGTAGGTCACTTTTTGCTCTGTAAATATTTGAATGATTAAGGAATGTGTAAGACTTCTTAAACGTCTCTAAATGTGCAACTTTTTTTGTATTTTGTTTTTGTTATGGACAAAGATGATTACTGTCAGTTTTACAATCTTTGCTTAAGTTTCTTACAGGTTTGGTTTGACAGTGCTTTTTGTACAGTGAATGTACTTAATTAATAAATCTGTAAAGTTTTTCAAATGCAAAAAGTATTCTTGAATCCTGGTCTGATTTCTATCCACAGGAGCATTGATTCTGTTCCATATAAAGGTGTTGAAAGCTTCGATCAGAAGCAGTTTGAAAGTTTTAAAATCGGGTGAGGTCTAGTATGTATTATCACACACATACTCTAAAAGCATATTAAGGCCACTGTACTTTTGCTGAGCATGTGGTAGGATATGTCCACTGGGCTTACGGAAGTGCAGTCCTGCAAAGCCTTGGTCATGAAAAATGTATAAGCAATGGCGATTTTCAAAACAGGACTATACTGAAAATAATCCATCAACCCTCAAAGTGAATGCTGCTTTCTCTATAATTTAGTGTTATAATGACTTGCAGTTTTAGGTAGCCTAGGTGTTGGTTTGGCTCAATAACTCTGGGCTTCCCCTTGATGCTTTAACTTTAGCCTATACTACATGCTGTCATTTATCCCCATTTCAGCAGATGACATTACTGCTTTCACTTTCTCATTGACGATTGGTGGTAATTTAAGATTTAGGAGAAGATTTGTTCATTGCATAGGTATTTTTGCAGCTTAAAGGTGCAGTAAGTGATTTTTGAAAAACTGTTGAAAAGTGGATACACGTAGGTAGCCAAACAGCAGTAAAAGGGTGTATAGCCTACTCATGATGGGGGAGGAGAGAGCTCAGTGCACAACACATACATTACCAGAATTACTATAGAAAGAGAGAACTACTGCTTGTAAGACTATAGATCATTACTGCGGGGTTCCCCTTGTCAGAGGTTTCACTTTTCCTTTGCCTCCATGCGGTCATATATTTTGTATCCAAAAGGCTTGTAGGCCTACTTGCATTTTAGCAGGTGGCATTACTCAAAGTGAATGCATCTTTTACTTTCATTATTAACTGTTAATGACTGCTTTAAATAAAACCGGATTTATTATGTGTCCTTCTGCTTGCTTCTACAGTAGCTCAGGTGGTCTGGATTTTCCCTGGTTGGGGTTTTCACTTTTCTTTCCTTCCCCCACATGCTGTTATGCTTCTACGTGCAACAAGTTTGTGTCCTCCATTTCAGCAGCTTTCTCATTGACGACTTCAAGTGAGAAGCAGGTTTATAACTAGGTAGGTAACAGCTACTTTTTGTGTTTTTCTCTCTCTTAAACTTCTGCTGAACAAACACACAAAGTTGTTTTCAATCTCATATAGGCTATAATGGGAGGAGCTCAAGCAGCTTTAGTAGCCTGACCTCCGGAGGAGATAGCGATTTCGCTACCGATTTTTTTTTATTATTTTTTTTATAATAAAACGTTTAGAAATGCTGTCATGTACAAGCCTATATACTTACTTTTTAAATGGGGTCTTATATTCGCATAGGATCAGTTGACAAATTTTTACGGGTCAGTTTTTATTTTATTTTAAATGGTCAATTTCGTTTGTTAAACGTTTAAATGTAACGTGATATATTTTTAAAGATGTTTTGTCTATTTCTTAACAGACAGTTCACTGAGTGAGGCCCCCAAGTGGACGACATCTCGCTGGTTGAGAAGCACTGTTGTAAGGTCAATAACATCCACACGGGGGAGACTGTGAGCAGCTTTTCTTCTTCTCTAACTCTAGCCTGCTCACTCGCACTAGACTCATTAACGCTGGAGGAGACGCGCAGCTGACATCTATTGTAGCCTACTTTTCTCATTTTCTCATCCCGGCACTATACGTAAGTATGCTTCCAGAGCTTGACATTTAAACTAATAAATGTTTTGTACCTCATACTGAATAGTTTACATCTCAAACTGAAATTGAACTTACGACTGAAATGAAAAGTCTAAATAGAAAGTGGTCATGAGTTGGTAAATTAGATTTCTTTTCAAGTGTTTTAATATCACAGGGAGTTTTAAAGTGTTGGTGTGTCATGTATAATAGAGTTTCTGTCAGTAGTTTGTGTATTAGCTACTACAGTAGGCTAATAGTGAACGGAGTAACACTCGCCTGTTCAAGTTTTGTCCTATATATTTCAGTTTTCTACTTTGTATCTAGTCTAATTAATTTCTGCTCACAGTTTACTTCTATAAAACATTATGAAACGTTGTCAAGGGTTGTTTATGGAACTCATTGTCTTGATTTCGCTTTCAGTTTATAATAATTTGATCCTTCTGGGAAGCGCTATTATCAGCCAAGATAAAGTAGCAAGCATGTATTCTTCACAGTCCTCAAAATAATTTGCTGGAGTTATTTTTGTTCAGGGTTATTAAAAAGCCCGTTTTCCCCGCCTGCGCAAAGTCTCTATTTTTTCCACTTTAGTATTTTTAGGGAGCTCTCTTTGTGAGGATGTTTAATGCTCTGGTTATGAACTGTAATATGAGATCTGTCGTATGTAGGTCAGGTCGGTTTACAACTGTAAGTGATTTGGCATCTCAGTTGAAATAGACTTTTTCTGTTTGGAGGCGAATAGGAATTTGATTGACACTAGGTGATGTGAGTAGCTAAAGTTTGAGTCTATGTCTGCCTACAAATAAGGTTCTTGTAAGATGTTGATGTGTGAATTAAGTTGAACTTGACTAACTTACAAAATAATGCATTAATAGCCTAATAACAGGAATATGTTACACTTTACTAACTCAAGTTCAATTTATAGTCAGTTGTTTTTGTGTAAAAGCAAAGTGCGTGCATCCATTAGGCTATATTTTATTTATTTGACTATTTTTATTGTTTAGAATATAGCTGATTGCAAACGTACCAATAGGAAAGAAATATAACAATTAAAATCTTCACTATCTCAGTTGTATCCTGGACAAGAATGAGAAAATAGGGAGCACAAATGGAGACTTGTTGTTAATAATCTTGAGAGAAATACCTCAGTAATCTGACGTGTCTCCTTTAAGAGATCTCAGCATTTCAACACATTATTTTAAAATCAGGGAGGCCTAAATGAAAACACTTTGGATCAAATTGTCCTAAAACCAAATGACATGGTCTTTGATATCCACTTTATTTTTTTATTGGTCCTTTGGTCTTACTGTATGCCAACAATTGTCTCATTTGAGTCTACCTTAATTTCTCAGAATTTTAAGGGCAAGCATCTGAGACAGTTGAGTTAAGTTGATACAAGAAAACAAAACGAATCTGAGCTTTGCGAGAGTAAACTCTAAACAATAACACTTTCTTTCAAGTAAACGCTTCTAGTTTGCCTGCATTCCATAGATAGGTGATGTGTCAGACAGAAACATCTGTCCCTCCCTGTTGTTTAAATGTTGTTGCGTTTTAAAACCATAGTCATCATTCATCATAAAATGTTTATTAACTTCTCTGGGCCATTTTAGTAGCTACTCGCACAGCCCACTTTAACATGACTGGTGGCATCAAGTTGGTCTTTGTGTTCAGGTGGAGAGAGATTAACCGTCTAATGAATGTACGCCTTGTTTCTGGCTGAAGTAACTATGGAGAGACAAGGCCATTGGCCCCTGTGGGCTTCCCCTTATTCGGGGTTTCACTTTTCTTTTTTCTGCATGCTGTTTGGAGTGCGAGACTGTTTAGTCCCTCAAGAGGGGTTTCTCTGCACCCCTTTATGCCTGCCCGCATCATGGTTGCAGTAGCAACTTGTTTGGCATGTGCAAGTTCAAATAAAGTTTTCATGATAATGACAGAGCCTAGAAGGCGTTTAGACAGGGGTTAAATTATCAGCTTTAAGCTTCATTTTGTTGCTTAGTCACTTGCAAGTAAGCTCAGTCAGTTTATATAAAGCACACTTGCTCAATCAGCATTTGTTAATAGATTCCACAACAGTTGTGCATTTGTAAGTTTTCTTTGGATGTTAAAGTTGAGGATGTCATCAGTTTGGTGGTAACTTTAAGGCTACAGTGGGCTCCTGAGTGTGTGGAATTTCTCCTTTTTTTGTTCGATTTGAAAAGCGTGGCTGAAAGCTGCCATTGTGGTGGTGGGAAATCAAAGCTGGTCCTATCGCTGTGAGTGTGGGGGAGGGTGGTTGGAGAGTGGAGTGTGAACTAGACTAGAGCCTCAGTGTACACAGTGTAGATGAGCTGAATGCTGATGAACCTCAAAGGATACTAACTCGCAGTGGCTGTACTCATTTTGCAAGCATTTAATGGCTTTTCAGTTTATAAGCCCCTTAGATGTGGTTTAAGACTTGTCCCAGACTAAATGCATGTTTTAGCTGTTTTAACTTGCACTGGCCTATCTTAAAACATGTCAGTGCCATTGTTTTGCCTCAAGATGTTTTTTTTCTAAGGCACTTTATAAAACTTACTAGAAAGCTACTTAAATGCCCTAATTGAACTAAAGCCTAATCCTGGCTTAATCCAAGCCCTGCATGTAAAACCAGGCCCTAAGGTTATTTTGCAATGAAAGAGATAAGATAAACTTCTACTGATAAACTCTTTCTGTTAATATATAGGGTCAGATTTCTCCCTGTGGTGATGTGCTGGCCTGATTCAAATGTTAGTGCGTTGTGACACACTTTTTATCTGTCTGACTGAGATTGGATAAGTTACATGTGTTGTTGGCACTCTTTTAAGTAGTCATAATAGCTCTGTGACCTTCATATGTGGTATATCAGCTTAATGCTGACCTTGATCAGAAGCACAACAGTGCTCTTATCAAGGTTGAATTTGTTTTTTAAAACCTCTTTTGTTTATGCTCGTGTAAGACCTTGTACAGACATTAGGAAATTCACTTAAGGTAAAAATAAAGCCTTGTTTCACTCTGCAGAACGAGGAGGAAGTGCAGGTAATTTGATTCCACATACTTTGTCGCACGGGACATATCACCGTCTGAAAAAAACCATACGATCTCTCCCATGGTGGAAAAATATGAGATATTTTTAATTGAGCTGGTTGGCCCCAGCTCAGCAGCACTGTGATTCCTCTCTTCAAAACTAAATTAAAGCAAGCAAGTTAAACAAATGTTCAGGTTTATTCCAGGCTATTCCTCACAAGGTTAGTTCCTCATGAACTGATTAAAAACTACGTAGAAGTTAATGTAAGTTTGCTTGTGAAGTGTTTTTTTTTTCTTCTTTAAGATAACATTCTAAAAAGAAAAAGACACTCTGTGGACAGATATTGGCTTATGGGATATTTTAGCTTTTTGGTCCTTTTTCTCTCTCTATTGTAGACACTTTTATCCAAAGCAACATTTTGAGTGTATTTATATACATTTAAACACACACTTTGGGGTTGGTAAGATTTTTATTTTTGAAAGAAGCCTTTTTTAAATAAAAAAAATATAGCAAAACAGTTATATTGTGAAATTTTTTATTACAATTTAAAATAATTGTTTGTTATGTTAACATATTTAAATATGTAATTTATTCAAGAAACATTTCCGATTATTATCAATGTTGTTAACAGTTGTGCTGCTTACCATTTTTTCAAGAATCTTTGATGGATAGAAAGTTCAAAAGAACAACATTTACTTGCAAAATAAATCTTTATAACATTATAAAAGTCTTTACTTTAATACTGAATAAAATTGTTAATTTATTTAATTAATATGAAATATTATTTAATATAAAAAAAACTCTTACTCCCCCAAACTTGTAACCATAAACTCTGCTGTTTATATATTGACACTCCCATTCAAAGGTGATGTTCAGTGGTTTAATTTACATCTCTGTACATCACATTTGTAAAACAAGGGCTGAAGTGGTTCTTCAGATGTAGTATCTCTGAGTGGTGGAATGAAAGTCCATCCATTCATCTCCACTGCAAGAAAGCTTTGAATGAGCTCCTGTGTTTGTCTATAAATGGCTCCAGCAATGCTGTTTTCTCCATCTGTGGCCTGATCTGCTTTGTGTTGTTGCTCTATATCTGCTTATCATTACTCACAATTCTTTCGCCCTCTCTGAGGTCATTGTACGTGCCAAAGTGTGCCACGCAGCACACAGGCCCACAAATAGCACGAGACGTATAATACTAACCTATTAATGATAGCCAGAATGTGGGTCATTATCTAAAAAGAGTGCCAACAGCCATCACGCAGTCCAGAGGAGAGTATTGACCTATCCTGTGGATTTTAGTTCTGTGTGCTCCATATTGATCTGATGATGACAGCATGCTGTGTCTGAAAGCAAGGGGATGCTGTATTGCATTTGTAAACTCTAGCAAACATGTAGCATGATGAAAGTGTATGTTTGCTTACAGATTTTATTTTTTATTTAGCTCACATCACTAATACTGATGGCTATTGTAAGCCATCTGTTTACCTGTTATGTCCTGTTGCTCATTTGCCATTTTTCTTAATCTGTGAAATGTATTATATAAACTGGTCCTTAATTTACTTCTGTTTTTTTGGGTTTTTACAGGTCAGCAAAATGGGGAAAGGATGCATCGCTGCCACCAAGTACTTCCTGTTTTTCTTCAACTTAATATTCTTTGTAAGTCTCACTTTCTAGTATTTAAATAACAAGTAAAAGTTCAGTTAGTTGAATCATTTGAATGTCAACTGCTTTGTGCTTTATTGTTCCTTGAATAGAACTAATGAAAGTAAGCTCACTAATAGAATGTTAGCATTAGATGTAACACTTTACAATAAGGTTCAATTTGTTAACATTGTTTAATGCATTATGTATTATGAAATAACAATGAACAGTCATATTTTACAAGCATTAGGCTGATGTGAATGTATAAGTACAGCCTATATTATTCATTATTTTGTTAGTTTCTAACACACTAATGTAAAAATGAACATTGCCGAAGATAAGTAAATGCTGTAAAATGATTGTTCATTGTTTGTTCATAATACCTAATAGATTAACAAAAGTAATCAAATTGAACCTTATTATTAAGTGTTACTGCATTAGGCATGGGTGTTCTGGTCAAGTTTTCCAAATGTTCTGAGGACAACTTTCCCCCAGCTTGTTTCTTTTTATAAATGATGATTTTTAGCCCACTACTAAAAGCTGATGTCCCAGTTTTCTTAACATAAGTTTGACTGACATTCACTGAACCAGTGATATCTTCGCTGTATTATAAATAAGTCATTGCTGTTTAAGGTCTTTCGGTTCATGGAAAAAGCCACATGTTTATTAGTTAAAGGTGCATCATAGCAGCCTTGTATCTCTCTGTCGCAGGAATGCACTCTAGTTAACATCCAGATGAAGTGTTTGCCATTAGTTACCCAGACAGTTTACTCTTCTTGATCTCAGAGAGAGAAACAGCCTGATCTCCTTTGTCATCCTTGGGCTTGTTCCATGTAGGAAAAAAAGAAATCTCTGATCCAAGTTTATTCTCTGCGGGCCAGGGTGCTCAGGCTTAAAGGGTACAGGAAGAGTCAAATGATTCATTCCAACCATTTGGAACACAACCAGTGGGTTTAAATGAGCCAAGCAAAATGTTTTAAGAAAGTCAAAAATATGACAACAAGATTATGAGAGGAAGGTCTCAGATTGGTGGTGTTGGTATGTTACGATTTGCAGTTGAAATATTTTCATGTCTTCGCATTTACATTTACATATTGTTATTTTTTATTATTTGCAAGATGCTTTTATCTAAAGTGAGTGTGACTTAAAAATTAGGAACATCACAAACAATGTATTATAAGAGCTAACAGTATTTGCATTACACAAAGTTTTAAATATATGATTGGATTTATTTTAGTACACAGACTTGAGCAGAAATGAAATACAGAAAAAAAAGAGAGAACAGGAATTTTCTTGAATTATTTCGTTTTAATATTTAATATGCGTCGTTAATATTTTATTTTTATATACATTTATAAAATAATTTGTATATACATTTTATTTAAAATGTTATTTTTAAATAATACATAAAATACTAAAATATTATTCTTTAATCCATAGCATTGTTTACTACTTTAATATTTTTGTCTGTTCTTTTTTTCTATTAAAAATAAATAAATTCTCTTCAGTTGTTTTCTTTAAACCCTAATGAAGATCTGTGTTCTAAAATGCATTGATTTTTTAAAAATAGTTCAACAAGTGTTGCTGGATTTGCCTTAGTCACTTCCCACTCCCAATTTTCCTGTTTCCATGCACCTTATTTGTGAAGTTGCACCAGAGTTACTAAAGGATTGGTACACAGAAGGAATAAACCTTAGTCAAAATCGGTTAAAAAGCATTTTGACAAATGACCAGCATGTGCCCTGGAGGAGAGTAGATGGAGCGCTTGTTAGCGAAGACTGTGTTGCTGTTGAACTCCTGCAACATCCGCTGCGCTCCCCCTCCCCTCCAGCCACTGCCACGCAGAAGCACAGCCCAATCAGTCCCAGATGTGAGAAAGAGTCTGCAACCCCAGTTAGAGATCAGGGAACAGTTCATAGCTTCCTACGGGCCAGGATTAGTGTGTTTGTTACATACTCTCACACACAAGCACACAACCTTCCTGTCTTTCAGGGAACACTTTAATACTAGAGTTTCCATCTTTAGCTCTGTCCAAGAGATTTGGAGTGAACAAGTTGCAGCTTGTAAACTGAAATGCGGGGCCCCTCGTTCCCCTCCTGTCCTGCACTATATGATTGATTCTCTCGTTCCTTTTTTCTTTCCTCTGCCCACCCCCCACCCCTTTCTTTTTTGTCTCTCTACAGATCTTCGGAGCTACGATTATGGGATTTGGACTGTGGATCATCCTAGACAATCAGAGCCTCATTGCAGTGTTGCGTAAGTTTCTGCATAAAATGTGTGCAATGAAAAGAAAACCATAAAATGTCATGTAGTTAAAGAAGCAGGAAAATGATGCTCCTCATAACCTAAATCTACTCTCACAGCCATTTTCTCTAGGATGGTTTGAAAATGCATTCACATTAATCTAAAAGTCTATTTAATGCCCCATGGGAGAGTTCCTTTGCTTTTAGTTGGTTGTAGTAATATCCAGCGGAAGTGGTGATAAGAGTTGGTCGTTGATCTTGTCTTTTTATGCTCTCATTAGTGAAGTTTTATCCCGTTGTACCTTTGAATGAAACCTTCTGGGCTTGTGCACCAGTGACTCAGACCCACTTTTACAGGGGCCATCTGTTCTTCGTTTTGCTTTTGTTTGATGATAACCATTAGTCTCATCTTAAAGCATATGATTCAGGCTTTTGGACAGATTGTTCACGATGGGCTCTGTATTTTTCATCACCTCTCCCCCTGCAAACTTCTGATCTATTTTCCATCCCAGAGGCCATTGCAGGGAGCCCTGGGTCACTAGGTCTGGTCTTACAGACACTGCCAAGCAGGCTGGAGCTACATGTTCACAGCTGGCTCCGGATCAGCCATTGAGTTCACGGCTCTGTGCGCGAGCCAGGCAGGGCCTGTGTGTGACATAGCACGTCTGAGGCAGTCTGCAGGTGCTCCCTCGCTGCCACACAGGGCTCTTTTAGCGGCTGCCTCATTAGCATGCATCACGTCAATGCTCAGATCAGGCCTCTCGTTGCATTAGTCATTGGAAAGAACAAATTAACACTGGTGAACAAGTATATCCAAGTAGGGAAAAGAATGAGCCTCTATCTGCCTCCGGTCTTAATCAGTTCAAAAGTTTGGAAAGATTTTTTTTTTTTTTTTTTTATGTCAAAAATGCTTACCAAGGCTGCATTTATTTAATCAAAAATACAGTAATACTGTGAAATATTATAACAATTTAAAATAACTGTTTTCTATTTTAATATATATTTTAAAATGTAAACTATTCCTGTGATGGTAAAGCTGAATTTTCAGCATCATTACTCCAGTCTTCAGTGTCACACGATCCTTCAGAAATCATTCTAATATGATAATTTGGTGCATTTTGTGTCAACAAAATTACTGACAAAAGTGGTCAATTACAAAGGTTTTTTTGTATTATTTTATCAACAAAAAAATGCACCTCATTAAGATTGATAAATGCTTGTAGTTAAAAAATTGCTGACAAAAATATTGTGAAGAAAAAAATAACACTGCAAGATATTAATAGTACACTGGCAATGTTTTGAAAAGATAAAATATAGAAAGAATATGAATTTAAATCCTTAGTCAATAATGTTTTGGATTGACTTCCTTAAGTGGCGTAAGCTGAAACGGAACAGTTAATGTATGCTGGTTTAAATTGGTTCTTTCTCATCAACTAAATTTAGAGGCCATTTCAGTCCAAGTAAAATTGACTGAAATAAATGAATATAACAAAAGAATGTGTGACAATGAACAATGCTCAAAGCACATTGGCAGTCCCTAAATTTACAAAATGATTACAGTAGTTGACTTGGGAAAAGTTTTCAAAGGTTGTCTTGTAAAATGTAGTGTGCCTAACCCAAGACTTGAACCCAGTCTGAGTGGCTGTGCTATAAAAAGTTTTCTGTTTGATTGATTGTTCAGAGCAGAAAACTGGTTTTAAGAAAGCCCAGGCTCACGCCATAGCATGATACCAACAGCAGTGAATCTGTCAACCTTTAGTACTCTTCCTTTTCATGTCATAATTCATCTGACAGACACATTCCTGCAGTGCACAGCGGTCGCTGGCTGTTTGTTGGGACTCCCAGCCATGCATGCAAACAGTTAGCCCTTTTACCCATGGTAAAAAAAAAAAAAAAGTTTTCTGAACATCATTGTTTTTCTAATCCAGATGCCAGTGGCCTTCACCGGCTCACTGATCCCTAGAGGATTTTCCTGTTTCCGTTAGACACCATTAGGCACTTCAACAGCATGGGGTTGTTTGAGATTTACAGTACTGAAGTTAGAAAGGCCCACACATTTGAAGCTGAATTGCAGACACACACTTTTAATGCTTTTATTTGTAATACCAATGCCCATTCTTGGGGTTTGGGAATTGGATGGAATAATTGAAACCGAATTGTTGCATTCGGAACTGGTTTTCTTCAGACAAATGCTTTGAACTTGGTTTCTGCTGAGCACAGTGGTCGAACTTACAAAGGCATTTGCTTTGTTAAAGGAAAAAGGTCTTGTTCTTTATTCTACTATTGTTTATGGTGACAGAGAATTTTGATAATATTTACCACATGGTACAAAAGAGCCTTAATGTTTCCAATTTAAACCTCACTGCCATTTTTAAAAAATCGCATTAACAGCTGTTTACCAATAGTTAAGTCAAACATTTCAGAACAACCAACTGCTGTGAATCTTGTGAGAATTTCTCCACAACAAACAGAATGGGCTGAGATGATTCCCAAAATGATAACTCACTCCACGTTGTTCCTTGGGATGCTAGATTTGTTTGCTTGTGACTAATTGCAATCCGCTGGTTCACAGTTCAGTTTCCAGCTCAAGGTTTCCCAGTATCCAGTTCTCTCTCAATCATTAATCATTAAATAGCCTGAATTATGTAAGATTTAGATTGTGCCTTCTCAACCGTGTGAAAAGATGAACTCATTGTGTTATTTGTGCTTTGACGAATGCTGTAATCATCAGGGTTGAGCTGGTCATCTCATCTGAGTGCTGGGTTTCGTAATGATGATTACATCAGGTCACATGATAGGCCATTGTATACTCTGCACCCACAGTCACACAGCGCTCTGCTCCACACTGTGGTATTGTTTGTAAGGCTGTCTGTGGTAATGTTGTTTTTGCTGGGGAGCCATTGAGGTATTTTGAGGCTGGATGATATGACAGAGGCTTCTCAGTATGGCGTTCTGACAATACGCATGAAAGCCTGACTGAAGCAGGACCAGTGCACAGTTGGAGAATGTGCTGCTTCTTTGAGGTAAAGCCACAGAACGTCTGACTCAACTGTTCAATGGCGTACAGTGAGCATTGCACTGTACTATAGGCCGTCACGACTCAGTCAAGATTGCAAGGGAGACCTGCCAAACCCATCTCGACGTTACACAATGCATATTCATGAGGACAACCCGAGACTGTATTTACTGGCTTGGAGTATTTGACACCAAAATTAGTTTGTGATGTGCAACAAACCATATAAAAGTGTTGATGCCACTTTTGCATAACGTTTAATAAGGTTAAAGCATTTACTTATCTAGATTAATGCTAATTTATAACTATATTGTTCATCATAATTTTTGTACAACTTGAAATGTTAAAAATATAAACTACCCTTTAAAAGTTTTGGGTGGGTAACATTCTTCTTTTAAAGTCTCTTATGCTCACCAAGACCTGATTTATTTGATCATAAATACAGACAAAACAGTAATGTTGTGAACTATTGTTGCAATTTGAAAAAAAAAATTCTAATGTATTTTAAAATGTAATTTATACTTGTGATGGCATCTTCAGGGTTACATGATCCTTCAGAAATCACTGCTTAATATGTAGAAATTTACATAAACCAAGATTAATAAATGCTGTAACCGTATTTTTCATTGCTATTTCATGTTACCTTATGCATTAACCAATGTTAATGTTTAGAAAGTGTTACCAAAGTGTAGAAAATAAGGGCTGTTTACTGAGTTACACAATCAACACAATTACAAAATGATTAGTTTGTAACCAGGATTGTGTTTGTGTTTCTCACTAACAGAGGATTCATCCATGGCCCTAAAGGTGGTCTCCTATATTCTGATTGGCGTGGGCTCATTCTCCATGATTCTGGGATTTCTGGGCTGTCTGGGGGCCATATATGAGATCCGCTGTTTGCTTGGATTGGTAAGACACAAAAATGAACCAGCCCTAAATGTTCAGCACTATTTTTATTTATCCTAATTGAGTTTGTGTGTGTGTGTGTGTGTGTGTGAATCATGTTTTTTATGTAAACTCAAAGTGAAACTTCTGTGGAAATCTGTCATGTGGAAATTTGCCTTGCTGAGCAGTTTCATGTCACACGATCCGAGTATACTGGACAGAACCAGCTGTTGCGTTTCCGTCGCACATATATGCGGACTGTGCAGTACATATGTGAGACCAACATATGTGGTGGGGGTGCACATGGATCTGAATTTTTTTCTTTCTCTACAGTACTTCACCTGTCTGTTGCTCATCCTCCTTGGTCAAGTGGCTGCTGCCGTTCTCATCTACTTCCAGCGTGATTCGGTGAGTTAGTGAACGCCCTAATGTGGCTGCTGTAAAGGGATTGCTCATGCAAAAATGTATCTTCTGTCATCATTTAATCACCCTCATGTCATTCCAAACCTGTATGACCATATTTCTTCTTTGGAATGCAAAAGAAGATATTTTGAAGACTGTTTGTAACCAAACAATTGTGAATCCCTTTTTTTCTATTGTATGGTCAGAAAATATTGTGAAAGTCAATGGGAACCAAAATAGTTTTGTTACCAACTTTCCTCAAAATATCTTCTTTCGTTTTCCATAGAAGGAAAAAAGTCAAACGGGTTGTGAACTAGATAAGGGCGAGTAAATGATGTCAGAATTTATCAAGCCTGTCATCAAAATGTTTTTTGGAGTGCAAGACACTTATGGCTTGCATGTTCTGTGCCGTTAAAACACTTCGGAAAAGTTGAAGCCAAAACTCCCATGCGTTCCATTTTCCAGCTAGATTTCATTGTGAAGGTTTTGTTTAGATTTCTGGAACAGCTGGAAAAGAGGTCAAGAGAATCAGTGTCTGAAAATGAAATGATATCGCCCCCTATCGCACATACCAAAAAATACACTTGGAGTCTTTGCAGGGCATTTGAGGATCGCTGTTGTTGAACAGACCTTCCTCCTGTGGGATTTATTTTTATTTTTTTATTTTCATCATGGGGAAGATGAGCAAACGGTTGACCACACACAAACACTTCACTCACACACACTTCACTCACACCTCCACCTAGCTCAGCCAGCAGCAAGTGTCTCTGAGGACACTATAGGAAGCATCTGAGCAGGATATGCAGTAAATCATAAAGTATTTGGAGCAGGTAGATGATAGACGTTGTCCTTTTTTTGCTCATCTTTCATTTTGGACAAAAATGCAAACCGGTTTGGAGGCTAATACAGAAGATGTTCTTCCAATACAAATGCAACACATGCTTTTCTCATGAGAAAAGGAGACACTGTTCCATTTTAGTAGCTTAGTGACTTTTTCCTCAGTCAGCAATGTGAATCTCATGTCAAATACCTGGGGCTAGAAAAATAAACCACTGACCCTTTTAACTTTCATTGCAGTTGAGGAAGGAGACGAGCGAAATTGTGTCCCAAGTCATAGAAAACTACACCGGACAGAACAAAACCGCAGAGCAGGCCTGGGACTACCTACAGAGAACAGTGAGTTGAGAATGGGCGAAACTCATGTGTTGTCTTTAATTCAAGCTTGAGACGTGTATTAAGTGTCATTCGAATGTATTGCCATGAAAAACACTCGGTTTCTGTGGGAGGTTCATGCTTTGGAATGTAGAAATGCTTGTTGCGTTGACCCGAGTTTAACCTTTCACAACATTATGAACGTTCGCTGTTCGTTTTCTTGTATGATGGAGAGATTTTAGTGGGTTGAATAATCCTGGTTTATTGTTAAGCCAACATTATAAAATGCTTCATGCCCTGTTGTTTCTTGTTTGTGTGTCTCAGATGCAGTGTTGTGGCTGGCTTGGAAGTGAGGACTGGGATGTGAACCATATGATAAAGAACAGTTCAGAGAATTTGTACTCCTGCTCCTGCCACAATGATTCCCTCCAACCATTTAATGTCACAGATAGCGGCTTCTGTTCGGACGCATCTAATAAATTGCCCATCTATGAGACGGTATGGGAAATATTAGTTATCACTTAGTCTTTTTAGCATGTTAAGTGAATCTCTCCATGTTTCCCTATTGTTTCGTGTAATTCTGTGTCATTAAAAGGATAGTCCAACCCAACTTAACAATGTGGTTCCAAAGCTGTATTTTTTTCTTTTTTCTGTGGAACACAAAAGAGGATATTTTGAAGAATGTTGGTAACCAGTTTCGGGCCCCATTGACATTATTCAAAATATCTTTTGTGTTCAACAGAAGAATGAAAATCATACAGGTTTGGAACTACATGAGGGCGAGGAAATGACAGATTTTTCATTCTTGGGTGAACTATCCCTTTAAGGTTGTTTGAAATGGTAGATAAATAAGATATACTTTTGCTTAACACTGAGGGCAAAGTTATTAAGATACCTATTTCTTTATGAATTTTGAGGTGGATGATTTCAATAACAGGTTAGTTCAGGTGAATAATGTTATAACAGAGTGTTTTTCTGTCTTCATCAGGGCTGCATGGATAAGGTGGGGAGCTGGCTCTTCACAAATTATGGCATTATTTTGGGAATCTGCCTTGGTGTGGCTGTCATTGAGGTATGTTGTATGTCCTCCGGCCAAGGCGTTATGAACAATACGCCTGTGTATTACTAAGAAACCATGGGGTGTTTTATTATCAATGAATTTTTTAAGCTACATTGGGCAATAAAATGACAATTTTCTGTAGATTACACATTTCCATTTTGATCTCAGTGTAGTGACTTTTTCCCCCTACAGCTCCTTGGTATGATACTTTCTATGGGCCTTTGCAAGACTGTACACCAAGAAGACTACACCAAAGTGCCAAAGTACTGAGGAAGAAACACGGACACTTGCACACAAATGTATTCAGTCCTTCCTTATTTGCTTGGAACAACAGATCTCCCTCTTTTTCTACAAGTATATACAGTGTTTCATAAAGATAAACTTTAGGGCTGTTTAGTCATGAGATTTCACTCTTTGTCAGTAACACTATCGCCTGATATAATCAAATCTTTTTAGTCCAGTTTGAATAGCCCATTGTAATGACAGTCTGAATTGCAGAACATGAAAGCTGCCCACGTAAATTAATGAAAAGCGTATGATGAGTCCTGGTGCCCATCAATTGTCTATTTATACAACACTTTTTAACACCCAGGCTGGCCTACAACATATTTGCTTTGATATTTCTTCATTATAGTGACCCAAACTATGAGTTAATAGCCTATTAAACTTCGGTTTATGCTTTATAGACAATGGAAAAACCACAAAGGCCTGCTTTTGATAAAACAAGGGACTTTTCTTTAGATATTTAGCATGTGTTTGTTTTGTGTATATAGACTGACACAATCTCCACCCTGCTCCAGTGGCATGTCCCAAATAACAAAGTTGGTTGTGTTATAGTCTGTCATTTATGTTTGTACATCAGTGTTGTTGCCTTTGTTTATATTTTTTAGTGTGTATATATTTAGCTTTCATTTGCATGTTGATTTTGACAAGTCTTGGGAGTCAAAATGTTCCCTTTTGTACAGATGATAAATTTTTATCTTTTTCTACATGCTTAAGTTGAGCATATCTGTATGAGCATATTTGTAAGGAAGTACAATATAAAGCTATTCCTTGATGATGTGAACCAAAATGAAGATTAGCCCCCAAAGTTGACTGCAGACTTGATTTTATTTTATTTTTGATTGCATTGATCCTAATTTAACTGGTTTACTCTGGCACCGCTATGACTTTAATTGTATACTTGTTATGACAAGTATAAATGGAAAAATGCTAACAGTGTTTTATTTGTCATCTTTAATAGTTCTGTTAAATACTTAAAATTTTGAGTTCTTAATAAAAGGTAAAAACTTATTTGACTGTTTTAATGTAAAAAACAACAACATTTTTTTAATTCAGGGAATACAGTCCCCAATCAAGTAATTATACAATGATAAAAGTATTGTAACTACATGTACCTTTCTTAAGCTGAATGTGTTACAATAAATGACTCACCACACCTATTTGTGCTCAGTGTGTTTATTCACCATGTACGTTTGCCAGATCTTCACTAGGTGGCAGTAGCACATCTGTTCTACTCATAGACTGTAAAAAAAAAAAAAAAGAGTTCTATGGTTCTACTTAATAAAGTAAAGTGGTGGTCAACATCTCAGATAATAATGCATTATAGGCAAGTAAATACAAACATACCCTGTATTACTAAATCACCACAAACAAAACTTTAAGTAAACTGCATTACAAAAATCTACTTGTAAAATATCATTGCTTGTGCTCTTTGTTCACTTCTGCAGCAGATGGTGGTCTTTCTCAATGGTCATGGTGGTCTGTGTTCTCCTCAGTGTTTATGTGAGGTGTTAAATGGCATGACCCAGACCCACCATTCTTTCTCTCAACAATAGAGGGTTCATTGCCACCTGTCGTCGCCCCCTTCATATCCGGCCTGCCCTGCCATCCTGTTTTCAGAAGACCATGTCCATGACTTTCCAGTCTTGCCCAGGAGTCACACATATGCAGAGGTGGAAAGCAATTACATTTACTCGCGTTGCGTAATTGAGTAGTTTTTTTGTGTAGCCTACTTCTACTTTAAGTAGTTTTTAAAATGTGTACTTTTACTTTAGTACGTTTTGTTTGAAGTATTTTACTTCGCTACATTTGAAATCATATCCGTTACTGAGTAAAAAATAATAATACAAGGGAGGAAAAAAGTCACACTCCGGAAACTAGGCTACTGCATTGGTTGAAGGGCGAGAGAACAAACAAACGCGCAAAAAAGGTGACGCAGACCCAGCTGAAGCTGAAAGCGCCCTCGAATTCTTATGAAGCGAATTATGGCCGGTATGAAAATACTTTGTAGGAAAAAAGCGTGGTTGTCCTCGAGGATAGATATCCAATTTGCAAAAAATGTGTACGCAAAGTGGCTGCAAAGGGAGGATACATAGGACACCAACCATCCCTCCTGCAGATAAAGGTAGGCTATGCCCCGATCGATTATAACTTAAGGCCGAAATGACTTACGTGACGTGATGCAGAGGGAATCCCGGAATCCTGTCATGAAAATGGAATTTACATAACGCAGATGTCACGTAAAACACGCAAAATAATGGATGGATGGATGAATACATGGAAAGTAGAAATGTGCAATAAATCCATGGACATGGTCGGTGATTATTTAAGCACAAAAATAGGGTGAATTCAGGTAGAGTGGGACATCAGGTTGAGTGGGACACTTAAGCTTTTGGGTACTGTGGGTTAATTTTGTAAGCCAATCACAACAATTGTTAATATTGGATGTAATGAAATGAAGGTTGTGATAGGTGTGACATCACAGATGTGGTCAGGTTGTTATTTTTCAAATTGCTTGACTCCTGGGACCTCATGGGAAGCCACCCGGCAAGTGTAAATCTATTTTAGAATAATAGCCTAAGGTTGATAATTACGTCACTTATGATGTAACAATACAACTTTTGCTTTTACAGACATTTATACTGTCTGTGTATTAGAGATTAATAACAATGAGCATCTAACTGTTAAAAATATTTATAAAAATTAGATTCACAGCACTGTCCCACTCAACCTGACAGTGTTAGGTTGAGTGGGACAGTTTTTAGGGCTAATGCTAGCAAACACAGTGCAGCCATTTCATGAACAAAAGATAACATTTTAAAGTTATAATAATGTGTCTGAATATAAAATTTTAGGTTGGTAACTTCAATATACACAAGATGGCACCCATACAGAGAGGAGAGTGACAGAAGAAAGCGATACAGTACAGAACAGGGCAATACAGAAAAGGAAAAGACAACAAAGTAGGAAAGGAAGAAAACTAAACCAGTGGAGTGAAGAGAGAATGGCAGGGGCTATTGAAGAATATGAGCAGGAGGTGACTGAAGGACACAAACCAAAATTAAGGTTTTTAGCCAGGGCATGGAACATCCCAAAATCAACACTGTAAAGGCGAGTGAAAGGGCTGGTGAGTGGCTACCGCCATGCCTCAGGTAAGAGCCCCCTGCCCTCAGCTCAGGCTGAGAGGGAATTGGCTAGCCTTGTTAAACTGAAAGGGGGTTCCCCCTGGAACGAAGTGATATACGGAGTATTGTGTTCCATTACGCCAAAATTAATGGCATCCCTGTTTTTTTTAAGCAGACAAAAAGAAACCAAAAACAACCAAAGTGCGTAAGCCTGCTGGTGTCCGCCCCAAAAAGCTGCCGTTCCTCCCCTACAAACAGTTCAGGGAACACTTCATTGGAATTGGGGTTGTATTTCTCATGTTCATTTTAACCATAAAATAGTGTCCCACTTTCCCTAACAAAGTGTCCCACTCAACCTGATTGCTTCCAGTTTGGTGAAGAGGGTGCCAGATGGTGTTTAAAGATGACCAGTTTGTTAATAAATACATAAATTGGGAAAATGTCACCATAGTGGCATTCATTACAATCTATTTAAACAAAACACATACACTTTTAAAACATTCTAACTGATTTAGGTTGTTTAAAATGCAATTTACCAAAAAGTGTCCCACTTTACCTGACTTCACCCTACTGCATGTAAATATATAACCCTATTTGTTCTGCTGAGCTGCGCCGCTTTGTCTACTACATACTCAAGTACGCGTGACATTCAAGGTGTTTTCAGCGTCTCAGAAACAATTTGAGGATATGAATACATGAACATTTCCAGAGCTGCTCTGAGAGAACGCCTAATGAGCATTTTCATAATTTTATTTGAGAAAAACAAAATCATTGTCAAATACACTTTGAAACACTTCTTTATATATTTGGTCTTCACTACAACCCGTCAAAATAAAAGTTCGGTTTTAGAAATGATGACAGAAATATATTACTATTCTTCTACTTCTCAAAATAATAATAATATCATCAATAATAATACATTTTATTTAAACATTATTTAAAGGTTTTTTTTTTGTCCATGGTTTAATTTAGTAAATCCGTTTTTGCAGCGCTTCCCCAAAAAATAAAAGGACACAAGTTTAAATTTACATTTGATTACCACCGTTTTTGATAATATATTTGGATTAAATCATAAAAAGAAACATTAATTTTCTGAATAAAATACATTTCATAGGACAATATTATTATATATTTTAATAAATTATTAATGTTAAAAATAAGTTGCTAATCTAATTCATTATCAATTATCGAATTTAATTGATTAGACATGTTTTATGGAAATTTTAATAAACAAAACAAACAAATGGTTTCAACTTTGTTACAATAAAAGCAAAAAACAAAAAAAAAACTGTTTTTTAACCTAAAAAAACCTCATTAATTTAACTGTCATTTTAACTGATGATGATAATAATAATAACCATAATTTAATAATACATTTTATTTAATAATGGATTAACACTGTAAACCGTGATATTTTCTGAGACGTTATCATTCTGTGAAAATCTCCTGCCATTACAACCCTACAGAGTCCCCCACCCACGCTGTTAAAAAAGTAACTCAGTAACTTTTACTCTGAGTACATTTTAAATGAGCTACTTTTTAATTTTACCTAAGTAGATTTTTAGGCCGGTAATTTTACTTGTACTTGAAGTAAAATTTCTTTGAAGTAGTAGTACTTTTACTTGAGTAGAATATTTTATTACTCTTTCCACCTCTGCACAAATGGATACTCATGATCAACTTCTCTTTTTTAGAAACATGTCAAGTGCTCTGAATGTAGGAATAATAATAATACACATAAATGCAGCATACTATGGATTTTCATGCTGAAAACCTTAGGCTACAGTGTGTTCTTTTTTCTTTCTTTTTTTTACCTGAGCATTTAGGGTCTCCATTGATCTATGTTAATGCAGCTCAAAGAGGACAGCTCTCCCATCCTTCCGGTAATGTTCTGTTCCAGGTCTCCAGAGCTACACTTGTAATTATAATGCTGTAGGGATGACATTGGAGCTGAGCTGTCTTTTGTCAGAAAGCAGTCTGGAATATCGCTCTGATCATGTAGCCTACTGCTAGTCTGCCAAACAACAACAGCTGCTGCTCTTTGCTGTAATAGCTTTCATAGACAGCAGAATTATTTCATCATTCACTGTATACAGCTGTAGAATGCTGACGTTTTTATGAAGTAGTTTTGAAACTGCATTTTATAAGCAATATTTACAGTAAAACATGGTCACTATGAGAAAGAGCAGCTGACAGGAAGCCACCGAGACAGAGCTGTCATTCACACACACTCACTCTCTTGTGACCGAGTCATACTCTGCTCACCCTCATTGAATTTAATCTAATTTCACTTCACAGAGATGGCTAATGAAGGGGAGGAGGAAGTCCACTAATAAAATGAGAACCAAAGGGAAGTTCAAAAAGTCAAATCAGCTCTGAATTACTACTACAATATGACTTTAAAAAATGTATTTTTTACATAATCCACGGTATGTTCAGTGCTGGTGGGGACTATCCTGGATGTTATAAACATTCCCTTTGGTAAAGAAGTTATTAAGACAATTATCAAAAATCAAAAATGATGAAGAAATGGTAGGTCAGGTGGGACATCCATAATAGTGGAAGAAAATATTAGTGTACAGAAGAAATCTATTAATGCACAGGATGTGATTAGAAGGAACCGAAGGGAGGAATTCATGGTATCCAAGTGATGGATTTGATTTTATTGTTATTTTCAACGCAATAGCCTACTTGCTACTACTTTTATTTGTTCATTATTTATTTTGTTGGATTTTAGTTGGACTTGGTCAGAACTGTTTCAAAAATAGTTATCTGCATGATGCCCGCTGCATTTGGGCTCAGTGATGTTGAATTTAAATGGAAAATAAAGACATGTTATGTTACATTGTGATGTAATGGTGTTTTCTGGAAGGGACTAAAGAACAAAGGATTTTTATCAGCTGAAAGGCAGAATACAAATGTCTTTATTAAGTTTGATAAACATTATATAACAGTTTTTAGGTTATGTTTTAGTGTTGGTAACATGTCCCACATTTGGTTTGTTTGATGGTGGTCACCCTAACCTAACCCCAT